AGAAGCAGAACATGAGGTGCCGTCCGTGGAACCCGCCGACACCAGCACGGGAGAAGGATTAACCGTCTTATCAGCTCCAGAAAACCTCCGGGACCGCCGCCGTCGTGACCTGACAGGAGGGGTTTGAGGCTGGAGCGGCGTGGTCATGAACCCGCTGCACAAGACGTTTGCAGCAGGCCTGGACAGAGGAGTGGAGCCTCTGCGTGGCTCTGGCCTGATGGCCAGCCGCGTTCCCCAGAACGGTGACTCCTGCTCCTTCTCTAGCTCCATAAACTCCAGGAGCGTGAGATCCTCAATGACAGGTACGATGAAAAAAAAGAAAAAAAATACTCCAAGTGCTGTGTCAGCGTTGGGTCAGATTTTTGGCCAGATTATTCTGTCACAAACAGAACTCAGAAGACCCGTGAAGACGCCAACACAGTAAGAATATATATATAAAGTCTTTATTGAAAGCAGAGGTACCTGGAGGGCAAGGCTGTGGCAGGTTCAGAGGCAGGCTAAGGTCAAAGTGGCAGGCAGAGAGCAAGGCAGGGGTCAGGCAAAAAACAAGGTCCAGAGGCAAAGATCAGGCAGGGTGGATGGCTGGAGAACTACTGACAAGGCTGTAATAATCTGGCATCTGTTGACTGGATGGCTGGTTCTTTTATAGCAGGGGAAGCAGGTGAATGGGATGAGGCTGATTACAGGAGCAGGTGGAATGAATGGAGCTGATTGAAGCTGACAGAGGTTGCTGGGGAAAGCAGGGCTTGGCTGGAGCTTGGTGAGAGGAACCAGGTGAGCTGAATGAAGGTATAATGAGGAAGTGGAGGAGGGTGAAGGATGGGAGTCATGACAAGAAGAGGCACAAGCCTGATGGAGGACTTAAATGTACTAACATGGGTCAGACCCAACCACAGAAGAGCTGAAGCTGGGTGGTAAACACACACAGGTAGTTCTAATAACACCTGAGCTCCATGACGTCTGAGACTGATGCATCAGTGTTACAGCGGGACTAAAGACATGATCAGAAACAGGTTACAACTGGATAGGAAGGTAGAAGATCAGGACGTCTGAGCGGTGAACAGGTGAGCGGACCTACGGGACGTCCCGCCAGCACGCTAAGAAGGGCACAAATGCAGATCCACACCTGCAGCCGTAGACTATTCATCACGTCTTCCTCGTTCTCCACGGGCCGTGATGCTCCTGATCAGCTGATGACAGCTTCAACACACTGCGCTGCTTAACACACGCATTTCCTTATCAGTAACAGGAACGACGTTTTGATAAAAGAAGACGTAATTAATTAGTTTGCTCGTTACTGAAAGAAATATTTTTTATTAACGCGGTTATTTTAAACGGAGTTATTCCCGTCATTGCTCTGTTGTATCTACAGCATGCTGTGGCAGTGAGAACACTGAGGGTCCCCGCCCACCCGGCCAATCATCATCGTGCTTGTAAGAGCGTTACCGACACCTCTCTCTCTGGCTGCAGCTGAAGTGTGGCGCTCAGAAAGCCTCACCCTGTTGCTCAACGTTCGACAAGCACATAGTAACGCACAGCCTTCCGTCCCCAGTAACGGTAACGGCGTTGCAACGGCGGGAAAAGTAATTAATTAGATTATTCCGTTACCTATAAAAGAACGCCGTTAGAAACGCCGTTATACTTAAACGGCGTTACTCCCAACACTGAACAAGCCACTGTCAAATCTGAACAATAAATCTATAAGTGAACTATTCTAAGCTGTTACAGTGAATTTGAATGAAAACACAGTCACAGAACACTCACCCCCTCCCCTCGGGTATCTTCCCTGAGACGCTTCTGCCGTAAGTGGAAGCCCACGATGACGACCGAAACAAGATGATGCTAAACACCAGTTGCCATTTTCTAAGTCCAAACAGCTTTGTCTTCAAATGGTGTTTTTCTTTTTGGGACTCTGGTAGTTTGTCTTAAAGCTGAAGTGGTAGCAGCCGGCTGTTTCTCCTTCTCTGATATTATTGAGCAGAGAACCTCTCACACCAGTGACGTTCTGTTGCTAAATACGCGAGTGTAGCAAGTGGAGGACCCAGGGAATTGCGGCAGGTCAGATGGTCCAGCGGTTGCCAAAGGTCCAAAATGTGTTATTGGTGGAGGCTTTTAGACAAATGTAAGTGAACCACTTTGTTTTATTTATTTTCACTATACATTTATAGCTATACTATGTTAGAACGATGTAAAAAGGCATAAAAAATGTTTTAAGCTGATTTGTTTTCCAAAACTGCCATTGCAGTTTTAAATGGTCAATTAAAAAATAAGGATGCTAACAGAATATCTGATTTGATTAATAATCAATAAACTGTATTATCTGCTATTTTCATCAAAGACTTGTGAGTGTAACTTGAGTGGAAGCATGTTGGAGACTTAATGTTGTTTGTAATAATGTGGTGGTGGCAGCAAGTCCAGACTGTGGGATGGTCCACACATTTCTCTTTTTCTTTCTGAAAGTACATGAACAAGCTCAGTTTCTTCTGCCTTTATTTGTGGTTTGTTTTAGTTTTCTTTGTATATACATCTATTTTAATTTGACCTCATTACTACTACATGCTGACATGACTGGAGCTGTGAGGCATCCAAAGCCAGTTCAGTCTCTGACACACCCAGGTCTGCCACCTGCTTTCCCAGCATCCCTGACCTTAACTCGTCTCCTCACAGGTGGTGGACACACATGGAGGAGACTGCCTGTAGCATTTTTAAGCAAAGCCTGGCTGAGCCCCAGGGACTAACAGCTTAGACACTCACCAATGTTTACTCAAAGAAGGAGCCCTTGTCTTCTTTTCCCAATCAAAACAGCCTGCTGCCAGTGGTCCGCCTTCAAGGTCTTCAGATTACTTTTAGACATATTCCTCTTCTGCGACTAGTTTGAGCTGTTTTCAGACAACACAGCACTCTAAGATCACAGGGAAACTCTGCCCATTAATGTCAATTTTGTCAATTTTGCTCCAATCTGTGGCGTTGAAGAAGGTGCAGAGACATACGGTAAATCTTTTGATTTAGTGGCATGTCTGCTCTGATCCTCACCTATATTCCTGATAATTGACTCTTGACTCAAAGAACAAAATCCCAGGTGTAGGAGACAACAATTAGCTTCCTCTGTAGGATGGCTGGATTCAGCTTCGGTTGGCTGCTTGTCCTCCTCAGATATCTGATTAAGATGCCTCCAGCATGACCTCGTCTGGAAGACTTCTGGACGTGTCCCACTGGGAGGAAGCCCTAGGGCAGACCCAGAGCTTTCTGGAGGGTGTGTAAATCGTGTCTGGTCGAAAGAAATCTTGGGTTCCTCCAGAAGGAGATGGAGGGTATTGAAGGGATGAGGGATGTCTGAGTTAACTCTGTTAACTGACCTTGTCGAAGGAGCCAAATATGGTTGAATAAATGGATAGAAAGATTAACCACAAACGCTTGTTTTACATCCCAAACTTCTAATCAAATTTGGATTTTACCACATTGAAATGTATACTCAAGGTCAGATTTATTTTGATCAGCATTGCCATTCTTGCGTTTTATTTTAAAAATCTCATTTGATGTTTCTGCATCTACATTTCTCAAAATGAGGCTTTACTTGTGGTAAATGATAAATGACCTGCACTTGTATCCAGTAGAGCCTGTCTGAGTCAGAGGACTCCAAAGCACTTCTCACTACCCATTCACACAGTGTTGATGAGCTACAGTGAAGCCACAGCTGCTCTGGGGCGCACCGACAGAAGCAAGGCACCACCTGTCCCCGAGACCACAACCAGCAGACAAGGAGAGCGAAGTGTCTTGCCCAAGGACACAACAACAACAGCTGACACAGATGAAGCTGGGGATTTAAACCAGCAACCCACCAGTAAGAGGGTGAACTCCTAACCCCTGAGCCCTTGTCATCCTATTATGTGTTGGTCCCAATGAACAATATCTGTTTTTTTATTTATTTATTTTTCTTTGTGTTGAAAATTGACGTTAAAACACACCCGTTTCAGCTTTGACCCAATCTAAGTAGTGAACCAACATTTTAGTACACATCCAGCCGATAACATAGAGATTTAACTGGTATTATCTTCAATGACCATCTAGATCAGTGGTTCCCAAACTGGTGTCCGTGTCAGTTTGGAAGTTGTGAGGTCAGCAAGGTTTTATTTGTAAATATTACATTTTTAAATGCTGAACTCTGTATGTAAGTTGGCAAATAATCACAGTTAATGTGTATGCATGTACGAGTTTGGATTAGGGGTCCTGGCTTGTCATCGAGGGAGTGTTTCTCCAAACTTCTGACCAACTGTGAGGAATCCTCTTGTTCTTTCTGCAGCTAAATGCTCGGTTAAATACCAGGAGGACAGCAAAGTTGGCTGCTAATTTTGTGGGTTTGTCACTATAAACATTACATAAACCTCATTTTACCCACTGGTGGAATCAATTATTAATCCACGCAGCTTTATGAACATGCAGTTACACTAACTGTTCAATTATTTATCAAGACTGAGTGCAAATGACAGCAAACGTTCGTTTTTAGAGAGGCAGTGGATTCAACATTATTTGTTAAAAGGAGTTTGCACATCAAACTTATCTAAGAGGTTTTACGATTGGACGTTGTGGTGCTTCATCAGTCGACACACACAATATCTAATTATGAAGGAAGTAAAGCATCATTCTCTTCACTGGTTCCTCTGTGTGTTTGAAAATGTCAGACACTTGCTGGGAAGGGGGGTGGCACAGCTACACAACAGAAGCAAGTGACATTTGCTGCTGATTGGCCCTGTAGGCGATGACATCAGTCACACAAAAGAGGAAGTTCAACACTTGCTTTGGCTTTTCTTCTTCAGAGAGAAAATAAACAAAGTTGGAAGAAAAACCTTCCACAAACCAGCTGGATACTCAAAAAGTACGAATGACATAAAGACAGAAAGAACTGATGGTAAAACATAACGCGGACTTGTTAACTAAACTTTAGATCACATCCATCTTTACGTTTTCTTTTTTCAAGTCTCTATCTTTGCTCCATTTCTTACCTGGCAGGAACACACCGAGCACCTATCGCTGTCCAGCACCCAGATCTGCCCGCTGTGCTTGACCTTGTTGTCATGGATACAGTCTCCAGTACAGTTATGCCCGTGGGGGCACCGGCAGTCGTAGCCTCCCTCCAGGTTGAAGCACACTGTGTCGTTGGCACAGGTGTTCCTCCCTGTCTTGCATTCATTTATATCTGCAGGGAGCACAAGAAAAACGACATCATACATATGCTCGGCTCAGGATACACTGCTCCTGTGAGCGGACGGTGAAAAATGGTGAGTACAAAAGCCATTAATGCTGCTTTATTGCAGCATGCAAGGCAACAGTAAACGAAAGCAACACACGCAATTGCTTTGCAATTCTTAGGGGGAAACAGGCAACCGTACCGTAACCCAGAAACCCACTTTTGGTCCAATTCTATCTTTGCGACGTGCAGCCAGGTTAATATTCTGTCATTTATTTATCTGAGAGCACCCTTAATGTTCTTTTCTTCTTGCCTCGTTCAGCTCAAGCCGACAGCTCAGACGAGGTCAAACAGCAGAGCAGCGCCGGCACTGTTGTTGCAGGCTTTACTTCCATGTTGGTGTTGATTGAGGGTTTCTGTTCTGACAGCTCTGACATGTCTTCCGACATGCTGAATCACAATGTTCTAAAATATGAACAGGCTGCAAAATAAAACCGATGTGACACTTGGGGAAAAGAAATAAAAGATGAAAAAACAGAAACACAATGATACCTCACTAATTAAAGCCTGGATCAAAAAGCTTGATTGCTGCTGGCTTTATCTTTCACTAACGTTGTGCTACTCTATTTCTCTAATTGGACACAGAATCGTGGTGAATGCTTCATGACTGAGATGTCATCTAAAAAAATAAAGAAATCAATCATAGCTCTGAACCAGTTAAGCTATCTGCTGATCTGCTGTTGTGTTTGGGCTCATTGTCTTGTTTTACAGCAGCATTTGGCCCAAGCTGTAGCTGTTGGCCAGACGTTAGAATACAGAAGTTCATGGTCCACAAGCTCAAATCTTCAGCCCTTAACCACCATGTTGACAGTTGACAATGGCTGTTTTGTGCTGATATGATGTGTTTAATTGATTTGTTTTTTGCCACACATGACTCTGTGAATCATGTGTAAACATTTCTACCTTGTTCTCATTTGTCCATCGAGTCCATCCTCACCTCTTCAATCACCGTGTGGTACGCTGGAGCTACCACCAGGGATAAGAAGAAGCTGTTGTATGCTCTGTTGAGAAGGTCATTGGCTGCATATTCGCCTCCATACAGGACCTGTACACCTCCAGGACATTGAGGTGTGCAGGTCAGACAACAACTGACACGTGTCACCCTGGACATTCTTTATGACTCGCCATAAGTACCGTTTCTTCCCCTCTGCTATTGGATTCATCAATGTAAATCCTAGGGCTGCCCACTCCAGTCGCTTGGTTCCAGTCACATGACCCGGTGTTGTGTTTGTACCTGAACTGATCCACTCTCACCAGTACCTACAATGTCTTGTATATAGTAGCCACTTCTCTAATTATTGCCATTTTATATTATTATTTGATCATGAGTATATTGTTACTTCCTATTTTTGCTTATCTCTTATTTTTATCTTCTTTTGCACCAAGTACCGAAATAATTTCCTAATGTGATTTCTCGCATACATGGCAATAAAACCTTCTGATTCGGATTCAAAGCACATCGTTCTGAGGTTTATTATGATGTAGCAAACCTAAGCCAAGCTGCCATGGTTGTAAGTACAGTAAACAAGCCATAGTCTACTAGTGTAGTTTCAGTCCTGTCATAAAGCTCTTGGTATTATTATTATTTGTATACATTTTCTGAGCATTAACCTAAAACAACGAGTTTCCTTTTCTGGATCATCCACTGCTGGGACGATTGATCGATGTCTTAAACTGTTTTCCACTTGTGAATAATAATGCTTGGACATGACCTTTGACCCTTCTTATGTTAATGTTTATGTTGTTTTTTAGCAGACACTTTTATCCAAAGTGAATGACACAGAGGGGAGTCATCAAGAGACATGGAGTATTTTGCCCAAGGACACAATGGCAGAATGACAAGGGATGGTCAAATCAGCAACCCAGCAACAGGTTATTCCCATCTGTTAATGTCCTTCCTCTTTGGTCGTGAGTTTACACACACCTGTACACACAGCTGACCAGCAAACATCATCTTAATTTAAAAAAAATGTTTTTTTCTAAATAACTGTTGACATGTCCAGAAAAAAAATACAAAGATTGAAAGAGGCAGGACTTTTTTATTTTATTTTATTTTTTACCATGAGTGTACTTTACAAGTTTGTGAGTCAAAACTCTAATATTGTCACCAAAGTGTGGTTATTATTTTCTTATACTTTTGTGAAGAAAGCGACGGTGAGCAACTCACCCACACACGATTCTCCGTTGGCGGAAAACAAGCCGTTGTCATGGTAGCCATCACGACACTCGCAGTGGTACCATCCGGGCAAGTTGACACAAGTGGATTTACTGTCACACTCAACAAAGCCGTCCACACACTCATCGATATCTGAAGAAGAGGACAGACAATAAGACATCCACGTCGATACACGCTGGTTTCAGGCTTTGCTTTTCACTGTGACTGAAGCTGAGCTCCATTGTTGCCTCTTGGGCATTTTTTTAAAGCTGACTGACTCATAATTAATAAAACATGTCTAGCCTTTGAGAGAATCCAGACCAAAGGCTGTATCGATCAAACATAGTTTCATTCCAGAGAGTGACATCTGTATCAATAAAAGACAGCAGGGAATAAATAAATCCAATCTAAGAGGATTATTCTTACAACAGAGAGCAGCTCCTGACTCGTATCTGACAACTCATTTCCAGTAAAACTCATGTAGATAACCTAATTATCTCCAAGGTGAGTGGACCGTTTTCATTAACTTGGCTTGAAACTTTCTGCAGACATCAGGAAAGACACAGTAAATGCCTTTGGGTGGGTGTCAGCCGAGCTGATGTTTATTTTCACAGAGCACTACTTAGAAAAGCCCTCGCCTCTGCCTCCTCCTTCAGCTCTCGTCTTTAATGTGAGACTGATTAAGTGCCCCTTTTCTCTCCTCCCTGTATTTGTCTCTCTGTTTTTCACCGCTTGACTCTTTATTCTTTTCCCCACTTTTGATTTTTCATTCCCTTGTCCAAACCTTTCATTACAGGGAGCAACGCCTGCACGCATCAACCCAGAAAAAAGAAACCCAATTTGCTTGTTAACAATGAGCATAATACACACAGAGAGACAGATTACTCTAATATTTCAGTGAACATTTCATTAAACTAAGGGCCAGACCCACATGCTAGAAGGAATAAGGCGCCGTTATTATGCAGCACGGCTAAATATGTTCGGTCCACACATGCATCGTGATTAAATGTGTCTGCCGACACAGTGATGGCTTTTTTATGATCACGCATGATGCACGATGCTCTGCTCTCATTATGAAAATGGCATTGTGGCATGTGTGACCTTCTTCACATCTGTACTGCCTCAGTATCCCCCCACAGAGCGACAGGCGGATGGGCTTGTGGTCCCCCACCACCCAGTCTGTAATAGGATTAAGATCTACTGGCTAATGAGCCCTGAGCCTTTAAATAGAATTTCAGCAGCAGATTAACCGTTGATCAAATGTCCTGCAGATTAGGGCTTTATCTGTCTGAAAAAATGACTTACATTCGTCACAATCTGCTTCAATAAAAACACATTCAAAGAGCTGCCTCTGATGTTCGATGCCATTACTAATCGCTAACTTGGTGGGAGCATCTCACCTAGTTTTCTCCCATTAGGGTTTTCTTAAAGGACCCAGCTTGAAATTACAAGCCTACGTCAAATGATATAACAATCCAGTCGTTGCAAATTATTACGTCCTGAGGAGAAATCTCCCATGCTCTTTGTTGCCTGTGAATTTCAGTGTGATAAAAGCAAATGGAGCTTTTAAAGAGGGAGAAAATGCATGAGGTGCATTGCCAGAGTGAGCTGAAACGTTGGGAGTCAGCCTCCCCATTACGGCTGCATGAAAAAGTTCAAAGCACAACTGAGCAGTGGGATGCTATTTATATCACACGGCGGTGATGAAGTAATTCGTCTAAAAATACATTTTATTTTCAGCCAGTTTCATTCAAGTATTTCAACACATTCTCACTCCCAGCGCGTCAAAAACAAACGCTTGGTGAGCCACCCTCCGCCTCAGACCCTTGACGCCAAAAGTGCCCTTTTCCATCACTTATGTGCGAAAAGGGTTTTTCCCCTTTTCTGACTGCAGATCCCAATGCAGCGTAAAACTGACGCGATGGGATATCCGCAGCCAGGGCACCAAACAAGATCATTGTACCTCGACCTAACCTCATCCCCTTGCTATTTAACCTTCCCCTCACCCCTATTCTAACCTTAACCATCTTGCTAGCTAACACGTTAGTGATGTGTCGGTCGCTCTAAAACTCGACTCTATGAAGTGAACGGCGGGAACCGCCTCCTCAATGGTCGGGTTTGGACGGAGGCAACGTGAGGGGGAGGTTTCAACTACCATGGTGGACGTTAAAAGTAGAGGATATTTGTAACCTCCCCCTCGCCAGATGGTATGTTCTAACGTTCCTCTTGGGCGGCAAATACGAAAATTCACAGTCAGAATGCATGTGAAACAAACGCTTGATCACAGTGAGAGAAATGTTTTAGGTAGCAAGAGGGTTAAGGTTAGGATGAGGGTGAGGGGAAGGTTATAAATAGTGAAACGTTAAGGTTTAGGTGCGGTTAAATGAGCTAGTTCAGTGCCGCATCAGCGGACATCCCATCATGTCAGTTTTACGCTGCACTGGGATCTGCAGTCAGAATAGGGGAAAAACCCTTTTTGCACAAAAGTAACGAAAAAGGGCACTTTTGGCGTCTGGGGTCTGAGGCGGAGGGTGGCTGACCAAGCGTTTGTTTTTGACGCGCTGGGAGTGAGAATGTGTTGAGTATTTAAACATGTGACTGTCTGGTGGCAGCAGCAGACGCGCGACCAGAAGATATGCACACCCGTGCTTCTTAGCCTGCCGTCAAATCGGGTTTTTAAATGTTGAAACATTTTAGGACGGCGAAACTCAACTGCACTTTTGACACAGAGTGACTAAAAATGTGGCGCGCAGCAGGGGCTGCTCAAATCTGGTCTTCTCTTTTATCATCTCTGTTAAAATAGAGAGAAAGATCACTGTAATTAAATGATCAACAACGACAGACAGACAAGGGCGCCGCTGAGAGAAGCTGTCCCTGCTGAATCACAAGGCTTTTTGTTAAATCATGGATTCGGATGGTTCGGGATTTTCACTTGTTAAATAATTCTCTCTCCTCACCGAGGAAATGGGACTTTGCAAACTAAATCAAATCTGAGTTTGAGACTGCCTGGTGTTGATGGGACATAGAAAATGACATAAACACCAAGTGTGTACAGAAAGAGGAGAGGATGAGGATGGGACAGGAGGAGGAGGATGACACAGAAATAGACAGAAGGGAACTTAAGAAGTCAAAAGAAGGAGGAGCACAATTTCAAGAAAGAGAACAAGCCAGAATAAGACAGACTGCAGTTATTCTTCTCGTTATCCTGAGTGGCAGGCCGGAAACACGAACTCTATTAAAGCCGCTCTCGGAGGACGAAACAGAGGGAAAAGCGTCCGGTCGTTTCCTCCTGAGCTTGTTACATCTGTTCACCAAGAGTCTGTTTCCCTCCCATTTTATTCATCCACCGCCTTCACCTTCCCAGGTGTTCCTTTTCCTCCTCATCCACCTCAAAGTTGAGGCAAAAAACAGGTGCTTTCAATATTAGTCTCGCCAAAGTCTGCAGTTGGCTCTCTCTGAGCAGAAAAGGGCAGAAACAGGAGCTGATTTTTGTCTGCCCTTTTCATGACTTCTGATCATTGCACTGCTCCTGATAACCTCTTCACTGAATCGTTTTTTTCTGATCCTGGACCAGTGCAGCTCTTTCTGCTCTCCTTCTCTCACTTCTCACCTTCTCTTTGGCTAACAGACACCCTAGGGGTTGAAATGCAGCTGCTCCGTTGCATCACTCTATGTCAACATTGTTAATGTTGTCACATGGACATCTCTAACACAGTGGCCTGATTCCAGATGATTTCCATTTCCCAAAAGGGTCTACTGGATGCTCCTGGTAAGCTCTGGATGGATTTATTCAGCACCACATCTCATCCTCTGCTCCTCAGTCACCTGAACACAACTAGATGCTCAAAGATAAATTGGTCTCATCAGATCAAGATGACAGCTTCCAAAAACTACATGGATGATGGCAAAACGTCCGTTCTGTTTATTTACAGCATCACTGAACAATCTCTCAATAGACATTCAGAGAGGGAATCGTTTCAAATTATCAGCCAATCATTATGAAACCTGAGGCAAACAGAGCTGCATACACACACGGTTCCTGAAGGTGAAACAGACACCGGAATGCAAATCCATATCTGCAAGCCTTTGAGTGGGAGAGTGGATGAGTAATCATGGAAAATTGGAAACAAGTCTTGTGAACAATCGGTGGCTGCAAGCACGCTCACGCTGCAATCACGTCGTGTATAATTCCCTGATTCCTTAGAGATCAGCTGAAAACACAAGTTTGTCAGTGGCAATTTACCGTAACAAACGCATACAAAAAACCGTGGAGGTGAGCATTAGGACCGTTTTGTTTGTAAAAATGTAGGAAAAAGGTTTCAGAAACAAGTCTTTCAGTATTTGAGGATATGAGTGGGAGGATGGATGTTTGTGAGTGACAGCTGAGCTAATTGGAGCAAAACCCACCAGCATCTGTGCTGCTAAGTGCTACTCTTGTTTATGTAGCATAAAAACAAACTTCTTTGGACTCCCAAAGTTATTCAGCCAGCTGTTTATATGAAGTCAAGCATCCCTCCCTTAATGCTTTCATCACCACAATGGGGCTTGGCAGGGGCTTCTGCATGAGAGTTCTCCCATCAAACGTTGGTAAACTTACTGATCATCACCCGACCAGCTCTGAAGGGAAGAGAGGCTGACACACACTCATACGACAGCAACAGAGGAGTTAGGTGCCCGCCCTGTTGCTAGAGGGTTGCAGGTTCGAGCCCCGCTCGTTTGTGGTGGTCGGAGGGGCCGGTGTGTACACCAGCCTTGCCCCTGTCAGTGCAACCCAGGGCAGCTGTGGCTACAATGTAGCTCATCATCACCAGTGTGTGAATGTGTTTGTGCATGGGTGAATGACTGGTCACGTTGTAAAGTGCTTTGGGGGGCTGTAGAACCCTAGAAGGTGCTATATCAAATACATGCATTTAATATTTAGCATACCTTAGCTACAGGGCTAACTGGTGTTTAAAAAAACACAAAGTGAGTTTACCTTTTGCTGTAGCTGTGGATAACAGCATGTTCGTAATTCTGCAGCTTTTATAGAAGCTGTCTGTCCTGTGCCTGGCGCCATTTACTACACTCCAGCAGCTACAGTACCAACCTATCCCTGGGAGACGTGCCATTTAGGCAGAAGCAGCAGGTTGCTCCCAGCTAAATGACAGCTCCGG